GCACACCTTTCATAGACGTCCCTTCGCCATCATCATCATGATAGAGACAACCGATCCAGCCCGGAAATGTTGCACTTGATGCTGCATAACATTCACGAAGGTTTGTCTGCTCATTGTGAAGCCGATACGTCTCATGTCGACCTCCATCGTGCGAGACAAACATCAGACGAATCACCGACGTATATCGAGAAATAGAGGACACGTAGAGAATTCATTGCTAGGTAGAACGCGATCCACGACATCTAGGGCGTATTTAGATATTCCCCGGGTATCTAGCCGTTTGTGCAAGGGCTGAGAAAAGAGTTGGGCGGAGTGCTACCGAGCGCGAACTGGGAGCAAAAGGATTGGCGGAAGGATCCCAAGGGGCTGGAGGCGCGGGAACGGCGTCGGTAGCGAAGGCAAGCGACGAGGACAGAGCGGCAGTCGACCGTCCGTTGTAGATCGGAGGCGGCGGACTGAGGCGGAAGATGTTGAGCTAGTTGTGACCGAGGCGGGGAGGCAGTCGGAGATGATTGTGGCTGGATGTGGAAGGCGATGCGATTGGAATTTTGCGTCTTCCGGCTTTGTCGTCCGAGACGAGAGGATGGTACGACCGATGCGGTCGGAAGCGGGCGGCAAGAGGCGCCGAGCGCGCCCACCCTCCCCAAGCGCAGGATCTTCCCCAACCCAATAAATACCCGGATCCATATCTTTAGTCTCAACTTTTTCCTCTCCTCCATCTCTCATGTCTTCCAAGGGTAATGTTCCTCCCAGATATCTATCTATGTCCTCGCTCACGATCGCTCAGCCATCCGCGAGTACGACGCCAAACTCTTGCTCGCCTACTGGCTTGAGCGTGCGCCGGCTGTTGAAGCCAGCGCGCAGATCGCGACGCCCTTTGTCTTCCCTCAGCCGAAGGTCGCCCAGGTCTCGTGGGATCCCGCCACCAATGCTATCACCCCCGACACCCAGATCCCCTCCTGGGTCTTCAACGCCAAGCTCGTCGCGAAGCCTGATCAGCTGATCAAGCGCCGCGGCAAGGCTGGCCTGCTCGCTCTAAACAAGACCTGGGAAGAGGCCAGGCAGTGGATCGCCGAGCGTGCAGGCAAACCCCAAAAAGTGCGTCCACCATCTTCCTTCGTGCCGCACTTCCAGCCGCTTGTGCGCACATACACGCTGGGATCGGAAACCCGATGATTGCCGCGCACACTTTTTTTCGCGTACGGCGCATCATCTCGTTCTGCGTGGCCTACCAACGTGATCCCATTGAATGTTTTATCGCGATGGAAGCACATACATGCTGCAGTCGCGTTGCGAGATTTACGGCGTCGCGTCGTCTTCGCGCTGCATGGCCTGACGCGTGTGCACACGTGATGCAGAAGGTCGCGTTTTCCACCCTTCGTTTCCGTTCCTCTGGTTCTGTGTGCTCGTTCTGGGCCCTGGACTAATGTCGCGATCTCCGTTTAGGTGGAAAACACTGTCGGCACGCTCTCCAACTTCATTGTAGAACCTTTCCTTCCCCACCCCTCCGACACCGAGTACTACGTTTGCATCAACTCCCTCCGCGAGGGCGACGAAATTCTTTTCACCCACGAGGGTGGTGTTGACATTGGAGACGTCGATGCTAAGGCTCTCCGTCTCCCCCTCCCTGTCGGCAAGCCCTTCCCCTCCCGCCAGACGATCGCCTCCACTCTCTTGAAGGATGTTCCTGCGTCTAAGCGGGAGACCCTGGTTGACTTCCTCATTCGCCTGTACTCCGTCTACGTCGACCTGCATTTCGCCTACCTCGAGATCAACCCGCTCATCTGCCTTGATGGCGTTAATGGCGGCCAGCCCACCATCCACTACCTCGACATGGCGGCTAAGCTCGACCAGACTGCCGAGTCGATCTGCGGTCCCAAGTGGGCCATCGCTCGCGACCTCACTGTCTATGAGCAGGGTGCTCCCCAGGCCTCGTCCAAGGGAAAATCTGTTTCTGCAGACCGTGGCCCTCCCATGGTACGCTCTTGTCTATGTGACGCGATAAAGCTAATTCCCCTCTAGGTCTGGCCTGCACCTTTCGGTCGTGATCTGACAAAGGAGGAAGCGTACGTCCAGAAGCTCGACGCGTCGACTGGTGCTTCACTCAAGCTTACTGTCCTCAACGCCGAGGGTCGCGTCTGGACCATGGTCGCCGGTGGTGGTGCCTCTGTCGTGTACGCCGATGCTATCGCCGCCCACGGTTATGCGCATGAGCTTGCCAATTACGGCGAGTACTCCGGCGCGCCGACCGAGGGTCAGACGTACGAGTACGCGAAGACGATTATTGACCTCATTACCCGTGGCAAGCCGCACCCTGAGGGCAAGGTCCTCATTATCGGTGGTGGTATCGCCAACTTCACCAACGTCGCCGCAACCTTCAAGGGCATTATCCGCGCCCTCAAGGAGTACAAGTCCGGCCTTCAGGCGCACAACGTCCGCATCTATGTCCGACGTGGCGGCCCCAACTACCAGGAGGGTCTCAAGGCGATGCGCCTGCTTGGCGAGTCTCTCGGTGTCCCGATCCATGTCTATGGCCCCGAGACGCATATCACCGCTATCGTCCCCATCGCCCTCGGCATCAAAAAGGACACTAAATCGGTTCCGCCCTCCATCTCTCAGACCCCGTCTGCGCCCGGAGCTGCTACTCCATCCGGCGATGCCGTCCCGGAGCCCGGTGTTGGTACCGTCAACGCTGATGGCACCCGCCAACAGCCCAACGACCAGATTGTCCGCTTCGACACTGTCGGCAGCCAGTCCCAGCGCCCCTCCTACCGTCCCTTCGATGCCAACACGCGCTCGTTTGTGTATGGTCTCCAACCGCGAGCCATCCAGGGCATGCTTGATTTCGACTACTCGTGCGGTCGCAAGACGCCTTCCGTCGCCGCCATGATCTACCCCTTCGGTGGCCACCACATCCAGAAATTCTACTGGGGTACCAAGGAGACCCTCCTCCCCGTATACACTTCCGTTGAAGAGGCCGTTCGCAAGCATCCCGATGCCGACGTTGTTGTCAACTTCGCCTCCTCCCGCTCCGTCTACTCCAGCACGACGGAGATTCTCTCCTTCCCCCAGATCAAGTGCATCGCTATCATCGCTGAGGGTGTTCCGGAGCGCCATGCCCGCGAGATTCTCTACCAGGCGCAGCAGAAGGACGTGCTCATCATCGGTCCTGCCACTGTCGGTGGTATCAAGGCGGGCTGCTTCAAGATCGGCAACTCTGGCGGCATGATGGACAACATCATCGCGTCCAAGCTCTACCGCCCCGGTTCGGTTGGCTACGTCTCTAAGTCCGGTGGTATGTCGAACGAGCTCAACAACATGCTCTCGCTCTACACCAATGGCACGTACGAGGGTATCGCCATCGGCGGTGACCGCTACCCTGGTACGACCTTCATCGACCACCTTCTCCGCTACGAGGCGGACCCCGAGTGCAAGATGCTCGTTCTGCTCGGTGAGGTTGGCGGTGTCGAGGAGTATCGTGTCATCGAGGCTGTCAAGAGCGGCAAGATTAAGAAGCCCATCGTTGCCTGGGCCATCGGGACGTGCGCGAAGATGTTCACCACCGAAGTCCAGTTCGGCCACGCTGGTTCGATGGCCAACTCGAACCTGGAGACCGCCGATGCGAAGAACGCCGCAATGCGCGCGGCGGGCTTCCTCGTCCCCGACACCTTCGAAGACCTCCCGACCGTGCTCACGGGCCTCTACAATGACCTTGTCTCGAAGGGCGTCATCGTTCCCCAAGTGGAGCGCGACCCGCCTGTCATCCCGATGGACTACAAGTGGGCGCAGGACCTCGGGCTCATCCGCAAGCCCGCTGCCTTCATCTCGACGATCTCGGACGAGCGTGGGCAGGAGCTCCTGTATGCTGGTATGCGCATCTCGGACGTCTTCAAGGAAGACATCGGTCTCGGTGGTGTCGTCAGCTTGCTGTGGTTCAAGCGTCGCCTGCCGCAATGGGCAGCGAAGTTCATCGAGATGGTGCTCATGCTCACTGCTGACCACGGTCCCGCCGTGTCCGGGTATGTGCTTCTGTAATTCCCGGCGAATGCCTATTGATAAGCGTCTGCAGTGCGATGAACACTATCATTGCGACGCGTGCCGGCAAGGACTTGATTTCCTCGCTCGCATCGGGTCTGCTTACGATCGGTTCTCGCTTCGGTGGTGCGCTCGACGAGGCGGCGTCGATGTTCTCCACTGCCCGTGACACTGGTCTTACACCACGCGAGTTCGTTGACCAGTCTCGCAAGGCGAACAAGCTCAGTACGTAACGTTACTTCAATGTCATACACCCTCGCTGATTTGTGTCTAGTCTCGGGTATCGGCCACAAGATCAAGAGCGTGAACAACCCTGATCTGCGTGTCGAGCTCGTGAAGGAGTACGTCCGCAAGCACTTCCCGTCACACTCGCTCCTCGACTATGCGCTCGCGGTCGAGAAGGTGACGACGTCGAAGAAGGACACGCTCATCCTTAACGTTGATGGTTGCATCGCTGTCTGCTTCGTCGACCTGCTTCGCGATTCCGGTGCGTTCACGCGGGAAGAGGCGGATGAGTACACTAAGATCGGCACGCTCAATGGTCTCTTCGTCCTTGGCCGGTCGATCGGCTTCATCGGTCACCACCTTGACCAGAAGCGCCTCAAGGCGCCACTCTACCGCCACCCCGCCGACGATATCTTCATCAACATGGCGGACGTGGCGCAGCCCCGTGTGCTCGGGCGTATGGCATGAGACAGGCTCGTATGGTGTCGCAGACTATTCTTGTATGTGGAAGGGCTCGATTGGTTTCGTTGTAGTGTACACATGTTCGTATAGACATTAACAATGCTGTGATTTGCTTTCTCATCGTTCAGCCTGATACTACGGGAACGCTGAAGACTAGACGGTGTGGACTTGTCAGTGTATTATATGGGGGAACAAACTTATTACAAGGCTGGAGATAAGACTCCTTTAGGAAGTGCAACGGCTTCAGGTCACAGCAATACCAATGTGGTCATATTTTGGTCCCTGTCGATTAGTGGTCAAATCATCACGTTGTGGATATCATAGAACCGTGAAGCCGGGAGCTCGAATCTCCCCAGGGACATATAGTGGCACCTTGATATTTTGCTTTTTGCACTTGCCGTGCTGGGTTACTAGTTGAATCCTGCACATCGCGATCCCACGCTAGATAAATGCAAGTAGAGGTACATAATGACTATGAAATCACAAAGCAGCAGGCTACAAAGGATACAAGGGCGCTTCCCCTTGCATTCCCCGTTCTACAGTCCAAAGTAGTCGCCCCGTGACGCATACCAGTTTACGTCCGAACACCAGGATCCCTGCCAAACATCTCGACACGATCGCGTTCAATGGACGAGGTATCCTGACACTGGTATTGAGTAAACTCCGACTGATCGATATCAGCACATGTTCATGGTGTGCCAGGATAGCTCGGCGTTACGGCAGTTGCACTTGAGGCAGCTGCAGTCAGGCTGCTCGTTGGCGTGCTCGATAACGCATCGTACGGCTCTGGCTCCCACCGCTCTACATTAATGTCCTCGTGCGGCTCATCGACAGTGAACGCAACACCGATGCGAGATGTAAAGATGACGTTTGCGGTCGCGTCGAAGCGGGGTTCAAGGCTATTGGAAGCCGCTGCGGCGTAGAGATTGAGGATGAGGTGGGACATCAGTGTCACAGAAATGCTGGAAGCGAAGGTAGAAAGGGTGCCGCGGAGAGGGTCTGGTAGGAGCTGGATAAGCAGGCTGGTGAGTGAACAAGCAGACCAAAAGTGGGAAATACACATACCACGAAAGTGAGTATATTTGCGACATTTGCAAATGCCATAGTGCTGGTGGCTCATTCAGTTCGCAAGCACCCCGAGGACGAAAGCTACGCACATGAAGTAGATGGCGCCGTCGCGGTAAACTAGCTCAAGAACACCGCCTTCATTTTGCGGAAAGCCGCGCCCTCCGCTCGAGCGACGTGTCGCGAGGGTATGCAGGATGGTGAGAATAAAGATGATGATGTCGAAAGCGGCCTGCATGACCCATGCAATGGAAATACCTGATCAGGGCATGAGTACCGTAAATCCTCCACGTCAAGTTCGCAGAGTGCGTACGAGTACCGCTACAGGAATTTAAGCATGAAGGAACGGCACGAAAGCGTTCAGACGCACGTCGAACTGGTGAGCGCTGTAAAACAGCCGTGAACGTTCGGCACACGGAGAACTTCACTGTGTTGCCTAGTGATTGACCACTGCCCTGTAATCAAGCATCTAGCGAGCGCAAGACGGGGATGCACTTACGCAGGCGATGGGGAACAGTATGAGGCTCGAACCAATAACAAATGCGATGATACGCTTTGATTTATGATAGAGTGCGATGATACGTAGGGCAAGAAGTGCTGGGTGACCATTAATCACTGCCTTCGGAAGGGAAAAGGTTGACAGCGCGCCCACCGGCTACAATGACCTGATTGAAGACTAACAAAATCTGTCTGCCAAGCACAAAAGATCGACAGGTCTTCGATAGGCGCCAGTCAGTAGACATCTTACTCGCAGGGAACGCAAGGCTTACCTTCTCTGCGGAGGCGAAGCGCGAGAAGTTGAACACGATTATAGAAATATCGCCGAAGATAGGCACGTAACGATTGAGCAAGAACAGCACGAAGGACCAGCTCTGCGTCCTGGGCCAGATGCACTCTACCTCGCGAGGGAATGTGAGGATATAGTCATAATAGAGAATCGCTTGTCAGACGAGTTATATCTTGGTTGCCACAATGCTGACAGGTCCTACTTACTCAATCCAACGAGTTCGAGACAGACGTGGATAAGGCTTCTAGTTGTTAGACAAGTCTAATGAAGCACAAGGAGGATTAGACATACACGTCCCTCGTATCCGTCGTCTTGCCCATCGTCTATATCTGCCTCTCTGAATTTCAGACGACGAAGCCGCTGGAAATCAAGGAGAAAAGACACCTGCAAGTCCAAAGCGTGACCTTGCTTTGTTCGTGTATTTCCAGCTTTAATGCATGTCCAAGGGCCTTGGACGCTGGATGCGTATCCTGACCACGCGCGGAACGTACGGTTTTCATTACATTCATATTGACAGATGGCTGTTGGACTGACCTTCCTCACATCATAATTCGTAGTGACGCTCCACAATGGCGGTGCAGGCGTACTGCGGCGCAACTTCGCTTGAGAGCGAAACAGTTTCTTTGCATTGTTCAAGTCGAAGAGTCGTGGAAATATGAGATGCTCCAGCTGGAGGATAGACTTACTGTCAGGAGCAGTGTAGGGAGCGCCATCAAGTTTACCGTCGCCTTATCAGATGACAAGGATTCCTTCGTAGAAGGGAATGCTACTGTAGTACGTCAGGCAATTGAAGGATACAGCTCTGCAGCACACGCAGCCTCCAGTTGCCAACTGGAAGCTGATACCTTTCCGCGAACCTGCCCAGATCAGTGCTGATTCAGAAGTGTTCACGTTGTATGTGTAACCGGAAAAATGAGCAAACTGTGCGGAACCAAGAACCTTGGATCCCAGTTTACCATCACGATCTGTCGAAGAGCGCGTGGGGACTCGCAATGAGTAGGTTCTCGGCGTGTATCCGACCCACAGCGGCGCGGCGGGGAAGAGAACGAGAACCTTACGAGCCGTAGGTAAGGTAATAGGTTTTGGGCGAGCGGAAGGTATGTGCGGCAAGGGCTGTCATAAAGAGGCTCAAGTAGCAGATGCTCACGCGCTTCGCGTATCGATTTGGCAAACTTGTGAAGTTGAGGCGTGAGACTTCCCTAGGCACGTTGCAGGCGGCATATCGCGCCAACAATGCCCCCCGCAGCTGTAATTCAGCACGAAGCCACATAGAAGGGAACCAAAGTATGTTGCACAGTACCGTATCGACCGCGATCCAACGTCGCAACGCCTAACAATGCGCCCGTGACTCCCTAGTCCGTGAGACAGCTAGTACAAACCTGTGATGTTACATAGCTCTCTCTAGAGTCACCAGTTCTATTTCTGCATCCCCGGGCTCCGGTGTCCGTCTATAGCGGACTGAGGTAGGTCGCCCCAGCGGCTCATCTATCTGAGCTGAGGTGCCCGTGCCTCCGTCATCGCTCCTTGTTAGCGCGTACGCACTGCTTGCGTATGAATCTTTGATGTGGACGGATTCGACGCCAAGGATATGGCTTGTGAACAGAATACCAACGCTGATTGCGTTTGTCCTCGTCTGCCTCCGTTGCCGTGGAGCGGAAGCGAAGAGTGCCAACGTTAGCCTTGAGCAAATGACAATAGATATGCTGCGATGAAACGTGGATCGTTATAGGTGAACAAAGTACGATCAAGAACCAGCACCAGCTTACCGGTTGGCGACAGGACAGAAAGCGCTCCGTACGATATCCTGGATGACTATTAAAGATGAAACACCAAGGAGAAAGCCAAGCATACGGGAGCAAACTAAAACGGGAGTAAGTCAGTGAGAAAGGCTACGGTTGCATACATCGACGCACTAAGAGGCTGAAGACGCTGAGAAGATTAACGATGAGAATCACTCTGTCAGAGATCAGATTGAACCCGCGATGGGATTAAATTCGCAGCCTACATAGGATATATCGCTCCGTCCCGATATATGCAACTGGTTAAGAAGTCGCTGGCTGACCACTGTCCTTGTCGGCTTCGAGTTTGCAGTGAGTAGTATAGTGTCAGAAGGACGGCGAGAAGGTCGAAGACAACCCTTGTCCCCCAAGCAATGGCGATGCCTGGGGAGTATCAGAACACGCCGTACCGGAAATTTGGCCGATACCTACGGGAGGCGCTGCGCATGTCATGTAAGCGTCGAGTTTAGGAGATGGTAATAGGTGCGAAACAAGACTCACACCATAAAACCAATCGCTAGATGGCAACCAGGGATTTTGGGATTCTGTATGAGATAGCCTTCGTGGCGGATAAGTTGGCCGGACCACTTCAGCAGCGCATAAGGAGATTGAATAGACAGATGGAAAGAAGCGCGTACGGATGAGAGACCTATTACAGCCGCAGCCGAAACGGTCACGGCAACGATAATGGGACGAGCATTCCTAAAGAGTGCGATCACACGCAAGCACAGGAGGGCTACCAGTAAAGATGAGCATTAAGAATACACGGAAAAATGTACAACTTACACAATACCCAAATTTGCTCAAAAGTTGCCAGTATCTCTCGCACCAGTCCAAGCGTCATACATTGCTACAACGCATCCAGTCATTTAAGATTCTCCATTACATCAAATATGTACTACACCTTACGATCGCTGACGAGATCGGTGAGGTCAAAGACCGTTGCAGCAGTGTCTCCGACCAGCGGTATGTATCGGTTGGCGAAGAACAGAAGGGTGGGCGGACTGAGCCCATATGGCCAAACATGCTTTATTTCCGCTGGGAGCGTAGTGAAGTACTCATAGTAGAGCACAGCTAATGCGTGTTACAAGACAAGTGAGCTGCACCAGCTCCCGAGGGGGAGAAAACGCACCCAAAGCTGACGAGTCCAAGAATGCACGAAGTCTGCTGCAGAGGCCAACGTGAGTGTGCCCAAAATTCTTGAGCACGCATCGCTTACAGTAGGATGACCTGCTGGTCGTCAGGCATAGCCGCGTCGTGCCATGTAGTGGAGGGGGAAGCCTGAGAGTAGTTGCGCCTCAATCGCTCCTTATACTGTCGGCAGCAGAAGCCACGCGGCACGACGCGTCTGGACACATGTCACGTTCCGTCATTCGTATAGATAAAAGCGCACCCTGTACCCGATCTTTGTCCACATCGTGATTCTTGAGCTGATGCGCCCCCCCCAAATGAGCGCTTGCCGAGGGCATGATGGGGTGCAGGTGCGGGTAGCATCGGCTCAGGTCCAGGAGTCCCGAGGGTGAATAGCGCGAAATAAACCGCTTTCAATACAGCTAGGGATGCAGCTATTCGAACAAGAGCTGACCAACTGAAAGCTGAGAACAGTGTGACTCGATCGGGAGAAGCGAAGGAACGAGCTGATGGCCATAGCAACGCTGGGAAGCTTCAGCCTCCAATCGAGGCTTGGCCGTGGGTATCTGGCCAGAACTTCTTGCACGCCACCGACCAGAT